ATCTCACATAGGATATAATCCAACTGGCAGCATTTCTACAATTAACTATATAAAATATTATGAAGATTTTAGCAACAAAATCATAATCAAACGGTTTAATAAACCGTAGCTCAAATTTGGAAGGTTGTCTCTTTTTCTTAAAGAAATGAAGGTATGTCTAGCAATAAATCAAAGTTTTTAAGAATTAGATGTATTCCCGCAGCTGTAGTCTTACACTGTCCATTCGCATCGTGACTGGGGAATACTATTACAAACTTCTTTTATTCACCAGCCATTGAATCTACTTTTGGAATAAAAACGCTACTTAACCGCAACGAGCGAGTTTGGGCCTCGTGGACATGTCTCTATAAGCAAAGCCAAACAAATATTCAATAATATCAACCGATTATTTCTGTGAAATCATTATGCTAGACTCCTGTCCCCAGCTGGGCTCTGAGTACACTGGTCCCTATTACACGCAATGACTAGGTAACACACTAACACAAGTAGTGTGTCTCATCATCTTATACTTGAATTTTAATAATTGAGTTCTATCAAAGGTACAATGTCAAACTAACACGCAAGCGAATCGATTCTAAGAAACGCACACACATGTAAGTCCTCGTGAAAGAAACTCATCAACAACTTCGTATTAAGGTGACCCGTCTGTAATATTTAGAATTAAATATAATTTCATTCTGCAAGTAGCAAGGTAAAATATTGTGAAGATATTAACATTACCAGATGGTGTAATGAACTAAAAGCCCAATTTGTAGTTTTGTCCCGTTTGTCTAAGAGAAATGAACACCTCATCTGGCCAACATTTGTGGCGAGAATGGATAGAGTAGGGAAGGGGGTTTTAGGGTAAAGTTCAGCAGCAGAATTGGCTGTAGTAGGACTAAACCAGAATCAGATTGGTCCAGGTCAGCTCTACCTTATGGGATTGAAATGGAAATGATTGAAGATACAGGCCACGTAATAATAATAAATCTTGCATTTGATATAGCACCTTATCACGCCGTTGAGAAGTCTCAAAGCGCTTCACAGAATATATTATAAAGTGGACTGACTGTATATTTCGATACGGGCGAAGTACACAAAGATGGAAGTTATTAATAACAAGTTACACTTACATAACGGCAATCACGCTGGGAGAACACCTTTAAGCAGTTTACTAAGAATGAGTGGGGATCGATGGATTGAGGCAGCGAGATTTAACGAGAATTTGATACATTCTGAATCAGGTGAACGCGCCTTTCTATGGTTAGGAAAAACGTTGATCTGGATTTCGGGCTAATCCTGTAACATCAATGATTCGAATTAGTGTCCCTGCGATTAAAATTCGTGTCATTGTAGCATTTTTGTGCTGCATAAATCATTTACACCACAACCATAAAATCCGGAATAAATGTTATTAACAACAAATTACATTTGTATTAAATTGTTAAAAACGAGACTTAAAAACGAATTTCTTGCTTAAACTCGTGCACCCGCCAGGAACAAAAAGGGGCGAATTTAAATCTAATATAGAAATTTTAAAATTGAACGATTTCTATAACCCATCGTAAATAACAGAGCAAACCAAATCTAATCATCGCACTCTGAGTTTAGATCATATATATTTTTATATAATATGTGATATTGCATAAGTTTGGGGAATAAAACTACTACAAATAATAATCCTTGCATTTGATATAGCATCTTATCACGTCGTTGAAACATTATGATATTAGATTTATTCCCCCAATTTATGGACCCTTTTTGACCAGATCAATTTTGTTGTGCTCTTTTCTGCACATCGAAAACACTGATTTGTATGCCACTTTGCAGTTTCTACTAAAACCGTAATAATAATAGTCCTTGCATTTGATATAGCGCTTTTCATGTCTTCGAGACGTCTCAAAGCGCTTCACAGAATATACTGTAAAGTGAATTGACTGTATATTTGTGGGCGAAACGCGGCAGCTAATTGCGCAGAACAGTGTCCCACAAACAGCCATGGATTCAATTAACCAAAATATTATTTTTTTGTTGAGGGATTATTAGACTATTAGTAGATTTATTAGATTAATGGGCTCGGAAATGTTTCGTTAATGTCTTGTTTATACTTTGTTAATTTCTAGATTGCACGTTTAATAGGAAATAACTGCGCCCAAAGTAAAAAAATAATGACCTGTATATGAAAGTTATAGCTTGGTAGATATTCTACATCGATCCGTTTTCGAAAGATGTTGTAACAAGCTAATTTTGAATCTACACGATTTCTTTTTATTCTCTACCCTCTCCCCACCACAACCACCACCCAAAAATACAGTGTATATCCGCAACAGATATCGGCGAGAGCTGTCACCCTCCACGGTCACTCTCTCTCCTCTGCACTGTCTGGTCATATAACTCGTTCTAATCTGTCCATTGCCACAGACGCAGTCAAATCATTTATGTCTCAAATGCTCTGTCAAAAAGAGAATCACGCAACCGCTTACATTCTGCAGCCACCAGCGCAGAACTGTCTAAAATAGTGCACGGAAAAACAATATTTCAAAACACACTTACATTTACTTAAACTCCCCCTATCCTGGTTACTGTGAATGGGACTTGGTTGTTACGATGCACATTGGATTTACAAAGATTATGTCGTTTCCTTTTTTAAGCAAACACCACCCCACCCCCCACCCCCCCCCCCCCCCCCCCCCAAGATGTTGGCTAAATATTTAAATACAGTGAATGATGAATATTGTATTTAATTTGATTCACTTTACTTCTTGAATAACGAACCGTGAACACGTTCCACGTTCATATGGTGACTTAATAGGGTAGAAATTCCACTTGGGGCTAAATTTATTCTACTTAATCGACTTTTAAGAGCGTCCAGAATTTTGAAAATGCTGTACGTCTTATTTTAGAAACTGGTTTTCTGTGAGTTCTTTTAAGAACTACAAAAACCCGATGTCACAGTTCAGACTGAGTTAAACAATTTGCCAAATTCTGAACGCTGCAAAACGCGACGCAAACAGATCCCACGAGGTGGAATTTCTCCCCTGTTTGTGGTGAGCGCAGAGAAACTACAAAAACTGGTGTCACAATAGAAATCAAACTGAAGAACTACTACAGAACCGACTCACAGACCAGACAATATTAAACATCTTAACCGATTGTAAACTGTAACTCATTTAGTTAGAAACACGCACAGACAAGATTATTATCAATGTACAGTTTACAAATCGGGTTAGGGGTTGTAGGGAAATGAGACGATTTACAAATAAATTCTATTGATTACGGGTTTATACAGAAACATATATTTTATCTAGTTAAAAATGACAGATTGTATTAGAAAAAGTCATTTATTCCAGACAACTAGGATCTCAATGTAGAAGATAATTTCAAAGCGGACGAGACTATTTCCCAATTGGCAACGGTTGCCAACAATTCCAATATACCAATTCTCTTCTCTCATTCACTCTCACTGAAAAAAAACCACGAGTCAGGCAAACAAACGCATAGTCTATACAAAAGTAGCATCTCCAACGTATTGTGGTTACCTACACTCAGGACTCTTCAACGACCAGTCCTTAACATCACTTAAACGCTTTAACATCTACTCTGATAATTACAAATCCACGCTATCGTTATTCTCCCTTTGGATCCTGTTTTGCGTGGTTTCATTCTAAAGATTGTTGCAGAATCAACGTTTAAACAGACTGGGGGATAAACCTCACACATGCGCTTGTTCATATGCAGTCTGTCCAAAAGCCAAGCTTGCTGACAAATTACTGACATTGCTTTTATTGGGGGGACTACAATATAGTCATCTCTGCCCAGATCAAAATCCAAACCAAAATCTTGCCCATGTAAAATACCCCCCCAGCACGGTCGCATCTGGTTAAGATATTTCTCCCGGATGCACCAACATTTCATAACAAAAACTGTCAAGTTTGTATTTGCTAATCTGTTTTGTGTTTATTGCACTAGAATTTGGAGCACGTGATCTGTTTATACAATGTTGTGATACATTAGTAAAATGTGGTGGTTACCATTTTACAGCAATCACGTGGAGGAGGAGGAGATAAAAGTAAATCGATTTAAAACAGAAGGTGCTGGAAATGGGATAATGTTTCCATCAGCATCTGACAGAGAAAGGCAGGTTAACCTTCCAGGTCGGGATGACCTCAAACATAAACCTATCTTTCACTTTCAGATTTTGATAGACATGCAGTACATTTCCAACTGCACCAATTTAATCCTCACCAGTGTCTATAACCCCCCCTAAATTTCTCCTCTTGTCTCCAGAAGGTGCTGCCTTTTTGCTGGACACGATTCTAAACTTCCAAATGGCACCAAACACCCCATCTCTCGCAATGCAAAAGTCCTTCACGTGTTAACTTGGACATTGAATAACTTCAGACAATTTCAGTCCGAGGAGCAACATTCCAGCCGAGTGCTGTCTTCATTCCTTACTTTCCAGACAAGTTGAGTGGATAGGGTTCAGCAGCAGGAACTCTCTCTTTCTCACACACACACACACACACACACCTTAACCCAGGAGAGGTGAGGCCAATTTGAGCATTCCAATTCCCACCCTGTCTAGATCAACTATCTCATTAAAGCAAACAATTAGAACGTTACTAAAATAATACATATACTGCATATGGGTACACAATATTAGAGGACCTCTTCAGACTATAGAATAGTTGAAACTGGTTCCAAGACTTTTGATCAATGATTGGTGGACAGAACCCAGCGTTCTGTCCAAAATGAGGACACTTACTTCCTCTAATCAATCCCCCAAATTAATTGAACATGTTAGAGACATACATCCGGAGTTAATTGGATCTATCTATCTATCTATCTATCTATCTATCTATCTATCTATCTATCTATCTATCTATCTATCTATCTATCTATCTATCTATCTATCTATCTATCTATCTATCTATCTATCTACTTCAGATAAATGTCAATGCACCTGTTAATGCATGCATTTGTGGGATATTCTGTTTGTTATGAATATCTCGTATTCTTACCTGGGTTTCTGTAAGACACAAGCTATTCGCTAATTGTTTTCTCTCGGCTCCCACCACATAGTGATTTTTCTCGAAGGCTCGCTCTAATCTCAGGAGCTGGGATGGCGAGAAAGCTGTTCGTATCCGCTTAGGTTTCCTGGTGAAGGGGCCGTGAAGTAGCAAACTCTCGGCTCCCCCTTCACTACCTAAAAAAAAGCAAATGTTCAGATATGTATTGATGTGAATCAATTTCCAGACAGTCTTTGACCACCCAGCATTCACTATGATATTTATTTTCATGTTGTTTAGACCATATGTGATGATAATTTGCATATAATAAGAGTTCTGTCATTCACACTGATTTAAATAGAATGATACGCGCTAAATGTGTAATTAATATCAAACTTAAAGGAAACGGTTAGTTTTTTTCATTAATAACAATATTTTTCATTAATATCTCGTTTCGCCCACAAAATATATACAGTCAATGCATTTATAGTATATTCTGGAAGCGCTTTGGAACGTCTCAACGACGTGAAAAGTCGCTATATCAAATGCAAGGATATTATCATGTTTAATGTGTTGTTGAACTAATATCTATTCAACCATAATAATGGCCCGAAGTATATTTTTTAAATGAATTCTATTAGTTCATGAGTTCAATTCCAGGCAGGGCGAAACCTTGGGCAAGTTTCCTTACTCCACACGCCTAATAATAATCCCTCCAAAAAACAAAACAATAATAAATTGGCCATTTTCAATCTACGACTGTTTGTGGGACATTGCTGTGCGCAATTGGCTGCCGCGTTCGCCCACAAAAAATACAGTCAATTCACTTTACAGTATGTTCTGTGAAGCGCTTTGGGACGTCTTCCCGACGTGAAAAGCGCTATATCAAATGCAAGAATTATTATTATTATATTCATGACATCATTAAAGTTTGTGTCATTGCTATCGGGATATAAAAAATGTTAGCATTCTAAATATATGCAGTGCAATTAAACACACATGGGGAGAAATTATACATTTATTTTAATCCTGAGCATCCCGAATTTGAGAAATTCCTAAACAAAGCTGTTAGTTCTAAAGCTTTTAAGGCTACAGAACGCCAACTTCAAAATGAAGACTAAATTCAATAATACGCCAAATACTGCACACAAAACTGCCAAAATACATCTAGACTCAGGTGGAATTACCCCTCAACAGTCTCTCAGCAATGAACTAAAAGTTGAAACTTTAAGATAAAAGTATACATTCCATATTAGCCGTGTTATCGGCTATGTTGACACAGGGTTAAAAAAAATGCAGATTTTCTATGCTCTAAAAATGACAAAAATAAATGGTTTGTTTTCTGATAAATCAGGTTGATCCCAAAGTTGAAATTATATACGCCAATTAAAGCGGCCTATTCATTTTCACCCAAGCCAATCAAACACTGTTAATCTGGGATCATTTAATGAATCCTTTTTTGAACCATCGGCTAAAACTATGATTGAAGTTGAAATTTGGGATTTCCTAAATAACATTACCAGGCTTTTTCTAGGATTGTAAGGAAAGCGACTAATACAAAAATAACAAAGCTATCTCTAGGGTTCTGTTGAGTAAAACAAGAAGACTGTGATTCCATTGTGGATATCCCCTCTGGGTAATTTTGCCTTTGCTCATTCCCAGATTTCACTATTTTCTAGGTGTAAAAATACTGAAGAGGGCGAACATTCATTAATAACAGCGATTTGAAGAAACTTTTCAGATCACACCAATGTCTCTCTCGTATTTTCGTTTCCTCTCAGTTGGTTCTGTGACATTTCTCCATCTGGTACAGTGCAAAAGTCCTATTCAATTATTTATTTTTCACGGAATGTGCCTCTGCAGTTCATCTGCTCCATTTAGGTAGGAAATAAAGTGAGCACCTGTACACAACAAACCCAGTCACCTACCAGGTAACTCCAACACACAATTTACAACAAAACATAAATCACATTTAGCATGTTTAATCGAACAGAAATTCATATGTCTCAATGTCCCCTCCCCGCCCAACAGCGGGAGAATAGCGACACCAATTCGCATTGCAATTATGTTCTACTCAAAATATACAGTCAATTCACTTTGCAATATATTCTGTGAAGTGCTTTGAGACATCTCAACGACGCGATAAGGTGCTATATCAAGGATTATTATTATTATTATTACTCAGCACATGTGGACAAGAATATGGATAATAATAATATACTTTTTCTATACGTTAAAACCAATCGATTCAAGTACAATTCAGCTTGTGCTGCCATATTTCTTAGATAAATTGCAAGTGGCCATAAGAGACAGGAACCAAGAGCGACCCTTGCCCCCCATATAAATTAAGTAACTTCCAAAGATGTTGACTTTCATGTTCTATTAGGACAGATCCAGGATTCTCAGGAAGCTTCCATCTTCTCTGAATGATATAGCTCCATCTAGACTCATTACCCAGGTTGACCCTCACTCCAATGCAGTGCTAGGGAAACCCTGCACTGTTGGATGTTCAAGTCCTTCGGATGTGATGTTGAACCAAGGTCCTCAAGTTTACCTGTTCAGGTAGACATTAAAGATCCTATGGCACTATTCAAGGGAGTTTTCTCACTTGCCCTGGTCAACAATCTCTCCAAATCACTTCACGGCTGTTTGTGCTGAATTTGGTTGTATGTTCATCTACAAATACAGTCAAAACACTTGACAGTAAAATCTTGTGTGGTCTTTATAGAAGTTTGGATGATGTAATGAGGTGCTATATCAAGGATTATTATAGATATGTTGCATTCTTTTTCTGCACTTTCTGCTATATTAAACTGATTCTGAGGCCTGAGAATCAAACAAATTCAGATTGCTCAGAATAATGGAAATGTCTTGAATTCAATATACACTAAAAAAAAGGCTTATAAATATAGATTGAATTTAAGAATTTTCTACAATTCCATCTTCCGTTGCTAGACAAAATGTGTTAAAGATCAACAGAATTTCAAGCCATAGGTTTGCAAGAAGTTTTACCTGTTTTAGTTATGCTGTATTCACAATCATTTAAATGGTCCTATTCCCAATTAAGCCCAATAAGCAATAGCAACAATGTCTTCAGATCTTATTGTTCACCTACATTTATAGTAATTCTTTCATTTCAGATGCAGCACAGTGCATCAAATTAGAAATTGATGTTTTGTGATTGAAAATGTTATTTTTATTTGGTTAAGGGGAGTCTGGGGAGAGACAATGAATGGTTTCAGGGCAATCAAGCGGATTCTTTATGATGCAACCTGTGATTAAATCCAATGTATTTATTATTGGGGCACCTGACTGATGTTTAAGCATACATAGAGGATAGGCCATTGAACATTCCCACCATTTGTTGGATCATCACAAAGAATTTAATTCCATTTCACATCTTTTTCCACTTTCTTTAACACCCCCGCTTCTTAGTATCCATGTGACTTTTTTAAACAAAACAATTGACTCTATATTGTATATTTGGTCAGCCAGATGTCTGGCACACCTGGAAACCCATCATCATATTTAAGAGTATCCAAACCCAACTACCGAGAGTTTCACAAATGTATGAAAATTTCCATTTCCCTGATATGGGGTATGCACTCTGTCCCCGGATTGACTCACACTGCTTGGAGTGTTTAGATAGAGGTTGTGGAGAACCAAGGTTTAGTACTCCCAGAGAGTGCATTGGCTTACAGCTAGGGTTTAAATTCATTTCCATTGTGAACACTGGCAAGTTTCCAATTGGTGGTCCAGTTAGCAACAGGCCACCAGTCAGGACTTGAGCTTGCAGTGTTAACAGGAGCCAAGTTGGAAGAATCCCAGTTTCCAGTAATTGAGTCTGCATTTTACAGCCTTCTGGGGCAATACATTTGACATTCTCACAAATCTTTAGGGGAGAGGGGGAGAGAGGAAGAGAGAGTATGTGTGTGTGAGAGAGAATGTGTGTGTGGGCGATAGTATGTGTGTGTGAGAGAGAGAGAGTGATTGATTGACAGAGAGGGGGAGAGAGAGAGGGATTGAGAGAGTGGGGATGAGAGGGGGAGAGAGCAGAGAGAGAATGATTGAGAGCACGTGATTATGGTGCTCCCACCCCCAGCTCAGGCACCCAGTCAAGTCAAGTGTTGTGTCAAGCTCTTTGAAATGTCCTTTCAACATGAAAACGTTGCTGTGTAAATGTTCTTATGTTTCTGGAAGGGGAACACAAAATATTGCTTATGCGGCCCGCGAACCTTTCTCAGACGGGGAATTTCTTGAGATTATACATATGATCATTAGAATAAAAAACTTAGGTACTGAGAACTCCCTTTAACACGAGTATGCAGGAATAATAGCTAATGTTTGGAGCAAAGATATTAATCAATGCTGAGGATTGTTGATTGACATCAATCATTTTCAGAGTGAAAAAATATTTTATGTGTCAAGTGAAGCTCATTTGCTTCTCTCCTGAAGGCCCCGAGTCACTGAGGAATGAGGCTCCACAGGTGAGAGATTGTTTTTCCTTCCTTCCACACGTGGGCACTGCTCACATGTGAGTTTAGACTGAGTATTACTGGCAGACTGTCCAACATGGGTAGTATCGCACCCAATTCTATCCCTGCCTTACACGCATGCACTTTCCAGAGGCGTCATACTGTATATAATAATTAGGAGCAGGTCCCAAGCTGTGCTTTCCACTCACTGAAACAGAGCACGGAGGCCATTTGTAACTGTTTGGGTTTGCATAACTCACTTCCACAATGAACCCTGCCTTTACCAACTGAGCCAACAGGGTTTCCTGCATTTACTTCAATACCGTATAATTATATAATAATTTGTAAAATGCGATTGATGGGATAACCGGCTATTTTGTAATATTAAAAGTTCCATAGTAGTTGGGAGCCAGGTTGGGGTAGGGGTGGTTCATTACAAAGACACTACATTTGATAGTAGTTACCTGTGAATTGCTTTGAGATTTGAATATGATGGGCACAGTATCAAATGCAAGAAATGTTACTTTTTTTCTTCCCTTTGCAATATGGAGAGTGAGCATCTCTTCAATATAATGCCCACCCGCACTGCTCTGGAAAAAATCTCAAATCGCCCCGTGGAGTTTACAGTTTACAGTTGTAAAAGAATTCATCCGAAATATCGTATGATCATCGGCACTGTGGCACGTGTGGGTTAACATGAAATGAGAGAAAGCTCGTGGGAAAAAAAAGTTAGCAAGCACCGTCACTTTTTATTATGAAACCTGTATGTACTATGCTCAGTGACACTTTGAGAGGAACGCTTCTGGCATTAGCATTGGTGTGCCAGAGAACCTCTTAATGATTCTGGTTTAACCAGATATTGTGTAAAGAGAGAGACAGGCTGTAACCATTTAAACACACAAAAAGGTGGATCAATCAGCATGTGAAAGCAAGCAAGGTTAACGTTTCAGGCGTCGCCTCTGGTCTGCTCAAATTAATCATTTTAACTCGAACTGGTTTTATTTCAGATTTTTAAACATTCACATTATTTTTAAAAAGGTTTCTGCATCGAACATTTAGAAGTTAAGAGAGATTATATTATTTTAAAGTTAGACTGAATTGTTGATCTTAAATATTTACCTTGAATGGTGACTGTCGTATAGTTTGAAGTTTAATGGTTGAAGAGTTGGATTCATAAATGTGGAGCTTCTAACAACTTTTTAAAACCAATAATTACATTTTTTTTTAAAAACACTGCATTTAGAAATGGCCTTCTGTAAAATCAGGCGATGTGGCATTTGATACTAGGAACATCTCTGTATCTAAATATTACATACATTATTCTAAACATAGGGCTGAGATTAGGTAGTAATTAATCAATAATTTAATCCGGGATTCGTCCTGACCTGTGGAATCGAATGTTTCTCCCTACAAATGCAGAGTTAAGCTGTCAATTTTCATGAACCTTAGTGCCAATGATATGATATTCAGAAGATCCAGGTTGCATGTTTTATGTGGGATGAGGAGGGAGCAGAGGTGTATTCCCAACAGTATCAGTATATATACAGCTACATTCATCCTTTCTGGCCATGTATGTGTGAGAAAAAAACTGCAGTTCTAATTCATTTATTCTTTCAGTATTAGAGCTGCTATGGGCAATATTTTCCTTGGATCTCACTGAAAACCTAATTAATTTGGAGGATGTAAGAGATAATGCTATAGTTTGAAGCGTATTTCATGTATTTGGCTAAGTTATACAATGGCACGCAACTTGTATTAGAATGACACAAGATCTCTAGAGGAAATACCTATCCTCTTAAAAGATAGAAGGTCAAGTATTATTTTTTCCTGAAATATTCCTCTGCTCCGCTATCTAGTAATTTGTCTACACGACAAAACATGGGTCCACATTTTGTGTTTACAGACCAATTCACGGGTCCATTGCGTAAACATGTTTTGAAGACTTTCTCACGTGATTTGCTGCACAAGTAATTGTATTATGTATATAACCAAATGTGCATATGTTTCTAACGTGTGGCTGAAGGATGATTTCTGCGTTGCATGGTGCATTGCAGGGCTCAGCACAGACTGCAGAGTACAGCAAGGTATATAGGGTCGGCACAGTACGTAGCTTCCACGGAACAGCACGCCAAGCACAGCTCACAGACTCAGCACTTAGCAGGCAAGGCACAACGCGCCAATTGCCCAGTAGAGCAAGCTGCATATACGTTGCCTGTAAATATGTTATGCATGCATGGTATGGGATAGATCTGTCCCTGTGGTGTAACATGCAACACAGGATGAGTAGCGCTCTGTATAGCCTTGGTTTGCCTGCCGAACAATGCGTGGCCTTTGTGGCATTCTCTGCATTGCAACACACGGGCACCCAAGTAGCCTGTATAGTCGTTTTGAGCTATGTGATCGATACCATGATCTCTGCAATTCCCATGTGCAGGTGGGATGCATGGAATTCTCAGTTTGGTTTGGATATTCTTAAGCATGGTGATGGGTTTCCACATGTGTCAGACACTGGCTGACCCCAACAAATGCGATGGGCTGGCTCCTTGAAAGGTTTCCATCTGATACAGCTTTCATTACAATTGGAGACTCGTCTCGAAATAACACTGACAGTGAGATTTGAGCTGCAATTTCTGCTCGGGTTGTAACTGGCTATCGTGACAACCGTCTTGACTGTACATTATCGAGTTTAAGCGGGAGAAAGGGAGACCTATGGGGGAAACTTCAGTCACATTCCGCCATGAGCCAGCTTGTTACGAGAATTATTTCACGGTTATTGAAACCGATTCGTTAGTGGAGGTTTGTTTTCTGTAAACAGGCTGCGTTCTCCCTCTCTCTCAAAGTCTCTATTTGAGTGACAAAGTCTATTTGTTGTACTCCACTTAGTCAGGGTCCTCTCTCCACGTTTTACCCCCTTCGCCCCCCACCACACCCCCAAACAAGTGGTTTTTATGATCAATTCTTCCCAAGCTCTCTGAAATGGAGCGTGTAAAACAGCACTTGATTCAAATCTTACAACAGTAACATTATAAAGCAAACATTCAAAACCATTAGGGCAGTTTCGATGTAAATGCCATTTTTATTTTGAAATCATCGATGCTTATATATCATCTTGTTAATAACCTTTCCCCGATTTCCAGCGCTGTCATATCAAACGATAGCACTTTCATGTGTTGATTAGACAATTATGCACAGTTTAGATGTAATTATTGTAAATTTCAAAAATTATGTTCACTGGTCACCGGTGACAAACGACACAGGTTAAATTTGCTCTCTAAATGCTGTTTTTAATGTTAGTTTGGTTCCTACAGTTGTTTTAACGGAACAATTCGTTAAATCGCCGTTTGAGGAGAAAGATAGACCACCAGTTTACGGTATTCGATCACTGCCTAATCGGGTAGGCAACTAATCGGGTGATTACCTTAAAACCACCTTGGGTTGTTGACAAACTGGCGAAAGGAGCAAAAAAAATCACACAATTATATTAACAATTTACAGCAAGTGTTTAAGAGTATTTTAACCAGTAAGTATTTGGTTATAAAGTAACCCGTAATATGCATTGAGCAATAAAAAAAGGTTTCAGTTGTAGAAATATTATAATTTATTATACTCTCGCGTCCAAGTGTGATAAGTGTGACACACATAGATTATCAGTCTCATGTATAATTATATTACGATCACTGTTTAATGTGGTTGTGCATCTTAGAAACGTTTTTAGTCAGTAAAGATGTAGAATTCCACACTGCAGATAATACACTGCCATTCCCAGTATACTATTATATATATTATATATATAATTATATATATATAATTATATATATATAATTATATATATATAATTATATATACATTATACTATTCCCAGTCATTCAATGGAGATTCTTAATATTACAATTTATAAACATCAGAGATTTTTGTCAATGTAAAAATGGTGACTTAACAGATTTAATTTTCTTTACCTGGTTAATTTCAATTAATCTTGGTGATATTTAGTTTTGAAAGCGCGTTCCACCACATGCAAAAACGATGACGTTTCGTTCTCTCAGGTACACTTAGATTCTCGTATCAAATTCATAAGGTTGCTTCCATTTTCTCGTATTCCTGATTTTATATCAAAGTATTTTTTGTCAAATAGCGACCAAGGCTTTATAGACAATGAGTGTGTTTATAAAAAAAACGTATCGTTCCATTTATTCCAATTTTGTAAAGTTATTGTATATAAGGACATGAGAATTGCCAGACGAAAGAAGACCAAAGTCCATTCAGTTCGCCTTCCACCATCCTGGCAGTCACATGCACATGTCATGTCCCAAACTATACACTGTATCCCAATATATTATTTCCTAATAGAAATCTATCTAATTTGTTATTGAAAGAATCGATACTTTAAAATATAAAATCCACCGACCTGTTATGTTGCACCTTATCGATAGATACCCATTCTTTCAGATAACCATTTTCAGAGGTTAGTTTAGAGAGCTTCAACTATTCAGTAGATACGTTGCCATAGCTTTAATCTGCTGCCCGACATCCCGAAAAAATGCCTCGTTTGGTTCCCACATTGAAAATAAAGCTGCAATTTTATGGCGTGTTCATAACAGTTCTCCCAGCCTCCAAAATAATACAATTCCACCTGAACGGAATTTCTGTCCCAGTTAATCTTAGAATTTAAAAAAGTAAAATACGTGATGCATCCTGACAGCAATTTGTATTTGCATAACACATTTCCCTTGCATTGACTGTCGCTTCCAAACTATCTACCTAATTGACAGATTTATGTAAAACAGAAAAAAAATCAAACTAAATGAGAGAAAGTAAAGGTATCAAATATTATCAGGTGGTCTAAGTATTCCTTGGAAACAAATAAACTGAGACCTGTTGATTGTTGAATGTTGGTGATTTGTTTTATTAACAGAAAGAATATACACTGATCGAAAGAGTTTCTCTATAGAAACTACAATCGGAAATCGCGAAAAAATAATTGTCCGTTTAGCCCCGAAATATTTCTCAAGGGATATTTCTCATGGTTCATTTATATCGACCAGAATGATATAATACCCTAACTGTAGCACGGTGCGAGTATTATTTATACACTTACTTAAAATTAAATCCGTTTACCTTGAAATCTGTGACCCAAATATCTGTTCCTCAACACCCACGGGTAAAAACTCAAGGCTTCTCTCTGTTGTGGCGCAAAGAATGACTGTGCGGGGAAGTGGTGTGGATTCCCGGGGAGCACGGGCACAGCGGGGCTGCCTGCGTGGGTCACCGGCTCCGGGAACAGGAGCTCGGGACTGCTGTACAGAGTCCTGCCCGCGCCTTGGAAGCCGTTGCCAAACGGAGAAGGATGCACTGAGTCCGCGTATCTCAGAGCCGTGGGTCTGACGGGTTCCTCGCTGGCTGTGCAGTTGTCTTTGCCCACCAGAGCCTCGATAGTGAAGCATCTCTTGGCTGTAGACTGGAACATGGCTTTCGCCAAATGACGTTGACTTCGAGGGTGCAAAGACGAAAAGAGAAATGGTCTACAGCAAAGTCTAAAACAGGACCAGCACAGGTACAATCCCTTAGATCCGAAGTGGACTCCAATCCGTGACACAATCCATACGCGATCTATTTGCCAAACTGTGGATACACTGAAGAAAACTCACGATAATGCTAAAGATTTTCACCCGCACGATCCGAATTTAAAAAGGGGCTGAGACCAAACAGACCAGTTATTGGCAGCGCTTCTCGCCATTGGCTCCATTACCCGCCCTCCTGTTCGTGTCAATTACAGACGCGCCTCACATGCGCAAACTGCACACGGAAGAGCCACCGCCCACCGGTCAGTGACACAGTGACTGAGAGGCGCCCACAAACAAACAAACAAATACATTCATTCCTGACGTTTGTACAGTAAATAAAATATAACCATCCGAGGTAAAAATGCACCTGTAGATGGGTCGAGTCTTTCTATTTCTATAGCAGGATTCACCATTCATTTGGCTGTTCACAATTAAACATAACACAACTTCCATTAAAAACACTGTTGTTGTGGGGTAACCTCACGGTAAGTAAGTAACCCGATGTGTTTTTCAAGCGTCGTTGACGTTTTTTTTATCTTCGAGGAGTGATATTATGGGATGATATATCAATTGATTTTTTTTATAAAGATGTGCTTCCTACATGTTTCTTAATACCCCCCAAAATGAATAGGTGACAAAGTCTCCTCCCCATCGACTCATAACAGAATACATTATCCTGATGTTTGTTGAATAAAGTCTCCCGTTTGAAAACGTTTCGCTTCCGCTTGTGACCGCCCTCCGTCTCATCGGGGTGAGGATGGGGAGATTAGTGTGTAAATGGGGTTAAGAGTTTGTCTGACATAGAATTGTTTATAATGAAGAGTTACAATAAGTGGTTATCATTTATCTACATTATAGCATCATTTTTTTGGTCAACTGGGTGTCTGACACATTCAGAAACCCAACAACAACAAAATTACACCTTTCACATCAGGAGGAGGTCCCAAAGCACTGCCCACCTGCTTAAGAGTATGAAAGACAAATGATGCCACGGGAATGAAATCAGTCCCAAATCCTCAACAGGGCATCTTGATTTTGCCCTGTGCTTGACTGTCAGAATGGGTTAAGGCATGAAGATTAGAAGGTGTTGTACCTTGCACTTCAGCATACTGAGATGACTGAAACATTTTAATTTGATTTAGCCTATTGAACCAGGCAACCAGAATTGAATTCCCCCCAAATTCCCAAACAATCTACCTCAGGAGCACGTGTCCCTTCTTGTGTGTCAACATAAGAATTTCCATGTATAGGTGGGATGCATGGAATACTCAGTTTGGTTTGGATACTCTTTTAAGCATGGTGATGGGTTTTTTGCATGTGTCAGACCAAAAAACACACACATTCTTGTGTTAATTGACTCTAAATTGGAGTTTACAGCAGAAAAAGTCCAAATATGTCCCTCAACAGACTTTTGTAACCAGGTTTGAAACAAATCCCACTTTATTTATTCCCACATATTCCAGATGAGTGACTATGGATCGAAGAATCTAGAATAATTTTGTAATAATCCTTGCATTTGATATTTAAGGTACCATTTCAATATTTGCATAATAGTTAATCTCTGGAGCTGCTCTTTATTTCTGATATAACAGTCTCACAAGGAGCTCATTCATTATCGCCTCATCTGCAAATGTATATTCTGCATTTTGATATACAGGGATCCTCACGTTGGGTCAATAATGTCTGGGTGCTCACCTTGTTGCGCTGGTCTCACCTCCTGGGTATGCTTACCTTAAAGGGTTTCTCTTTCAAATAAAAGCTTTATTTGTTATCTTACTATTTTCACAAAATATCAATGAATACAATAGTTTACCATCAATTTTTGTAAATACGATGCTAATAATACTTGCATAGATGACAATTTGGTTATGAGAACTCACTTACTCTCTGCAACCTCTCTTCCTCCAATATGACTTCAAAGGGAGATAGCACTTAAGTGAGTATTTTTTGGTCAGTTGACTATCTGATAGGTTCCTATGCCCATCACCGTGCTTAAGACTATCTCAACCAGACTGAATTCTAAGTGTGGAAATGTCTGTGTCTGGAACGGAATGCCACATTGACCCTTCTTACCTAATTCCAGAGTATTAGATGCAGGTTGGCCATGGGCACTGCAGACTGTACCATAGAGGTCTAACGAGCTAAAATCAGATAACTTGTTAGTGTTAGCAAAGCTTGGCCAGCTTTCTAATGTGCATCCAGCTAGGACCGCTCAAAGTTCTGCCAAGAAGCCAGACAAGCTGGTCTGTCATTGGAGTATTGGGGGTCCACTTGTCTCAGGAACCAGATTACTTACAGAGGATTGATTCGGGATTGGAGAGGGTGGAGGGCAGGGGGGGGAAGGAAGGTGACTGAAGGCGCAATCAAAGAGGTGGGGGGGATCTTAAGCCAGGTCTTGAAGGAGGCAAAGGAGGGGGTGAAGTGGAGGGACTGCAGGATGAAGTTCAAGAGAGTGGGGACAGAGTGGCTGAAGGCCTGCCCGTCAATGGTGGGGTGGGCAAGGCGGGGAACATGAAGCAGGCTGGAGCCCGCTGTGCAGAGGAAGCAGGCAGGTCGGTAGGAGGTTAGGAGGTCCAGAGATAGGGGAGAGCAAAGCCATGGAGGGCATTGAAAGTGAGGACCAGGATCTTGAACTGTATCCTCTGTGTGATGAGAAGCCAGTGGAGTCGGGCGAGGATTGGCTGATATGGTCGTGGAGCCTGGTGCAGGAGAGGACACGGACTGCAGAATACTGGATAATCTGCAGCCTATGGAGGGAATAGTTGGGGAGGCTGATAAGCAGAGAGCTTGCATGGTCAAGCCTGAATGTTATGAGTGCATATATGAGGGTCTCGGCAGCCTGCGGTGTGAGACGGGCGGACGAGGGCAATGTGGCAGAGATGGGGAAAGGTGAAGCTGGTCATGGCATGGATGTGGCCTATGAAGGACAGTTGAGGGTCAAACAGGACCCCGAGGTTCCATTTTGGCTCCGCGAGATGTAAGTACATCCATGGAGGGTGTTGCTATCAGCGGCCAAGAACCTTTTTGGCAAGTTGAAAAAAATGTATCATCAAAGCCATATAAATAGAACACACTTTATAAATAGTCTCCTTTGCAGGGAATATATAGATCATGCCCTGACAATATATACAGTATAGAAAATAATCCCTGTCTATAATAGATCAGCCTACAGTACAAAATGCAGGAGTTCATGGAGTTGGTTCCGCATACTTTCTTGATCAAGGTCTGTTGCTATTAATGTGAATTATTGTCATGCATGACCTATGACCATCCTATACCCTAGAAATGTGCTCAAAGAACTCCACGTGTGATTGCTGTCAAGTGTAGTGACTGTGATATATATGATCACAGATGTATCAGCAAAGGCGTATAAATAGAATACACTTTATAAATAATTTCCCCCCACCCCACCCTTTGCTAGTATATATAGATCAAGCCCTGACAGTATATACTGCTATTCATTTAGATGCTGTGTGACTTCACTATGTGCTTCTTGTGTGATGGAAACCTCTAGACTCTCGCAAATCCTAATATAAATGTCCCAAATGCTCACATTTTGGACTGAAAACTGTCTTGTAATTCATTCATTTATTAGCTTTTGAAGGTTGACAGGGACCGAGGGGGAAACCCCGTGTGTACCAGTAGTGTATAATCCAGATATGCTGAGTAACATTTTATTTTTATATTAGACTATGTTTGGAGAGAGATGACTTGAGATCCAACCTCACTGAGGGCACCACATTGAGCTCTTTATAAGGACTATACAGGAGGCCTCAACTGTATATCACAGTCACTACAGTTGATAGTGATCACACCTGAAGCACTTTAAGCATGTTTTGAAATTATATGCGCCGTAAATATTATATTATTATCAAATAAAAGGATAAAAGTTCCAATGTTGAAATCAGATGACTAAAAGTATATTCCTTGAAACGCTTTGAGAAGTCTGAATGACGTGATAAGGCATTATATCAAATGCAAGGATTATTATTATTAGTTTTATTAAATGCACTTACATGTTGTCACCCATACTATTTCCCAGGTACATACAGCGGGCAATGGCCACTAAACAAAAAGTACTTTCTTGTTTAGTTGTTCATTTGCTGTTCAACAAGTGTTTTGTGAAATATTGTTTCTGGGCGGTACAGTACTTTCAATAGGTAAAGGCAAGGAATGCTGGGTGGTTTTGTGAGGGGGTGAGGAGAGACAGATAAAAACAGCTGCTGTTTATTTGAAAGATCACCTTTGAATTCTTTATTAAAAACATGGATATATTCAGATTTCAAATTACTCTACTGCCGTTTGTTTTGGTATTGGTGCGTGTATAAAAACTCCTTTATACACATTAAGTTTAAAATTAAAATTCACAAAAATAGTAAATTTCTATGGTTCTATTAGCTGATTCAAACAGTAGGTAAAAGTTATTTCTCTAGCACCATCTCCCAGACTTTACACAGGTAAATCGCAGGCAATGGTACCCAGTGATGCACATTACCAACCTGGGAGCATACACATGACCTTCTGGGACAATTTTTTTGTATTTAATAATGTGGTGAATACAGTAATACACATTACAGTAACAGTCAATTAAACGCATAACACTGACAGTCTTGCCACAGGGGCTTCTATTAACACATAACATTTCCTTCAGTTTCCTTTTGTTCGTCCCTGTTTTTGTTCATTGCAACAAGTCCCGTTGATGTAAATGAGCAGTGACTGAACCCTACTGTTAGGAGCTAAGTTAACAAGCAGACTGAAAATGGTTATGAGGCAATTGGCTAGGTCGCTTCTGCTGCTAATTTAGCTCCCTGGCACTGTCCAACTCAACAACTCCTCTAAACTCATCCTTCACGTTAATGTGACCATTCAATTTAAAATCATACATTTAAATCAAATACTTAAAATATTCTGCTTTCAACTCTTTAGAATGGTTTCTCAAATCGACTCTGATGTTCTGAAATGGGAATCATGGTTGAAGTGCAATGCAATTTTTTCAAATCCAAATGTGGCATTATCACGATGAGATCAACTTCTTCCAATGTATTTGTTCAGGACCATTAAAACATCAATTAGACACTCACTCCAAACT